TTGTCCCTTTATTTCAAAATTGACACAGCAAAAGAAATTATAACCCGACGATTGTTGTCCATAGCCCACCTAATCAAAGATCACCATATTGATAATTTGAAACAATTATTTAATGAGACAATTGCTTAAATTGTCCAACAAAGTGAAGATCATATCTTCATTCAATTTCAAACACGCACTTCATACAAACAATCTTTAATATTGATAATTACGTAAACCTGACAGTTTACACAATCAAGACATAGACCATGTATAAACATGATAAATTGAAGGAAAGAAAAATTGGCTGTTTGTAATTTTGATTTTAAATCCACGTAGCTACTACGTATGTATCAGGGCCCATGGACCTGCATGAAGCATAGACCCACTTTTCTCAGGGCGAAGCCTGCCCAATCTTTTACTCTTACGATGCAAATTTTCAGCAAAATTGTTAATAATTTCTTTAGAAAATCAAATCCATTCATTGTTTTTCCAGTGATTGAATACAAAAATATTTGCAATGTAAAATAGCTGGCTTTGGCATTGCTTTTCATTGACTACAAATAAAGTTTGTTTTCAAACTATTCACTCCCTCCCTTTCCAGAATACTTTTGAATAGGCTTCAAAGTCCTTCATCATGCACATTACTTCTCCTCTTTGTTATTAGACTTATATAATCATCAACAAAATCATCTACTTCATCCTGATCAGCAAACTTAAGGCAGCAGCCATGGTTTGGAACACAAAACTATTCCTCGCCAACTTTTTATGAGTTAGACTAAAGCAAGCATCCATGGAATGAATGGCCACACCTAACTCACCAGTCTAAAGCAAACAAAGCTCTTTAATAAAATGAAACGAATTTTATGCTAAACATGTAACACTTCATATTTCACAACAACTTTAAATGTTCTGATAATATATGTGACAAAAAAACATATAATTTAAGATAGTTCACAAAGCAAACAGTAGAAAAAAAGAAATCAAATACTGACTTGTGGGCAAAGAGGGCAATTTCTATAATCAATCAGGTCTTTCTGTATGAACTTTAATGATCTGACTTGGTGTTTGAAAGATCTGAAAAAAAAATAAAATTCTTAAATGATATAATATATACAGTCAAACCTCTTGTATCAAATGACCCTGTACTAAGCAGATACTGTGTAAAATCCAAAACTTAATCTCATATAACTAATAATGATGAAAGTATAATGATGAAACCTCAATCAAGCTGACACTTTCATTAAGCTGACACTAGTCTGTTGTCCAATGGTGTGTACTTAAAACAGGCTAGACTGTACTAATCTACACATATAATCTAACTATTAGGTCTACAATAACTGTAAATAGACTTTTGTTTTATAACATATAACATACCTGTTATATTCATCGAATGATCCATTGTTTAACACATTATATATGTTTTTGACCTTAAAAAGAATAAAATGAGCACCTAGTAAACTTGTGCATTTGTTTCAAAAATAAAATAAGGTTAAATACACAAAGTCATAACAGCAAAGGAAACTTCATGTACAATTTGAATGTGCTCTTATCTTATTTGAGGCAAATACGCATTACTTATGTTGTTTGTAAATAACAGTGATTCAATAAAATTTTTTGCAAAGTACAACCCCTCTATTTCCACTATTTGATGGGTAGACTATCACATGGGTACACAATTCAGGTTTATGAGAAATACATACCAGTCTATGTAGCATTTCAGGATATTCAACTTCAACAGTGCTGCAAAATTTGTGCAAGGATACATGGCTCTCGAGCAAGAATTTTTCAGCAAAATCCATGAAGTCAAAGTGAAATGCAATTTTGGGTTTAGAAGATGAGCCTGGCCACAGCTGGAGTTTAATTAGTTTTTCCACATCCTTAATACACTGACAGAATTCAACAATTTTTAAATGCTGCCGACCTAAATTTTGTATGAGAATAAAAATTGGATTAATTGATATGCAAATAATTAAAATAGAAATTATTGGCCTAAATATTAATACTTAACAGTATTACTAACATATACACATTTACATGTAGTCAAAGTCAAAATAACTGTCATTGTTGCCATACTGTACCTTTTCCATCCACATATTATAGTATGTGATTGTGTTGAAGAGCAGTTAGCATGCTGACTGTCACGTAATATACCACCATAAAGTAATGGAACAAACATTTCACAATCAGTCTAAAGAGTAGTTATTTAAGCATCAGAACATGTATACATTCCATAAGGCACCATGCACAGCATATAGCAGCATATCCTTCTTGAAAATGATTGATAGTTTTAATACAAAATACTACAGATTGTTACTTTAGAGTTAAGACATGGTTGTAAAAATTGCCAGCATTTGATGAATACTAGAGCTTAACAAGCCAAATCCAAATGTAAAAAGCAAAATATTTCATCTGAAGAATTGACTTTGGAAATAATCACCTAGAATTGCCTTCTAATAGACGAGTTAACTTGATTATGTTTTGCTGGCAGGCAAATTTTATAGGGATTCATTGTGCCGCCAGAAAGAATTAAGCTTACTTCCATATTTCAACCAAATGGAAAACATTCCTCGTTCGATGAAGGGATTCCGCACACTCAAAACAGTAGAACTGTCCGTGACCGCAATCACGACATCTAATTTCTGCTTTCTTTGCTGGTATCCCATCTTCTACACATTTTACGCAGAGTTTTCCTGGTAACATGGCACAATTTTCGATGTACGACTTTACTAAATTATTTTGCAAACACTTCCAGGATTCGTTTCATTCACTCTCCTCCTTTCATATCGAGATCCAATTCCACGTAAATTATTTGTAGCTTCGTTAAGGTTTTCTTGAAAGCCTTCAAATGTATCGATCGTACGAACTGGAAGAACAACATTAGGAGAGAGAGAAATATTTTTCCTACTAAGCAGCAGAGTATGTCTTCACAGTCAAAGAGTATGGTTTTACCCTGCGATTGCCGCTCCAACTAAGCGCCATCTTTTCTGTCTGTCTCACACTAACAGTGCCCAGAGATATTGAGGTCAGGAGAGACAAACATAGCCTTTAGATTGCACAGAAAGCAATCTAAATTGGCTATCTTCCGCATTCTAAAATTTAGAACTCTGAGTAATACCCATTTAGAATGAGCGAAACGGGTGATCATAGCGTGTTTTCCCATGTAAGACTTCTTCAAGTAAGTATTATCAAAATGCACATTAAGGAAAGCGTCGTAATGTTGATACATGTCATGCGCAATGAGAGCCACGCCCAATTTAAATGGGTGTAATATTGCTTCTACTCCAGTTTCAAAAGGTGTAATTAAGCCTCCACTCCTCCACTATCATTATTTAAAATCAAAGCTCTTATAGACATTTTCAAACGTGTCTGACACTTAAGAAATTCGGTGTGTTACTAAATTGAAAACGAAACTTTTTTACAAAACAAAAAAAAATCAAATTTATTAAGTCTGCCAAAAACCACTTAAAAACTGTGCAGTTTAAGCATGAAGAATATTTAATGTTAAATGAAAAGTAGTGAGAGCTTGAAAGAGATGTAAGAATAACCATAACACTAGAAGATGCATTTAAGCTCTCAACACATCTCTTCTTTTCAAGCTGTTTAAGGCAAACTCTGGCATTGTAGTGTTCACAATATCACCTACAATCGTCCGAAATTACATAATTACACGAATCGAAGTGAATACTTTGCATCATCACATTTCACTTTATAAAGCAGCAGTGAAGTATCGTTAACAATAAAACCTCTGTTAGGATTTGCTCATGAAGAATTATTTTAAGAAAGACGTTGTGCGTGAAAGGTATTAAAACAATATTTAAGGAAAATGATTTTTCTTAAAAATTTTGCTACAAAAAAAAACAACAAAATAATAGCTATGTTGCAAACAAACATCTAATGAAAATCTACGTAAACGAATCAAAACTAATTTCCTTGAACTAATTTCAAATTTGGACTAAAATATACTAAGAATAAGAAATATTAAGGTAAAAACAAGTCTGAAAATTGTTCTTTCCATCTTAAAGGATTACTGCCTCAGAAAAAATTACGAGGCCTTATTTTCATGGATGTAGATTTTAAGGAATAGTGATAGCCTTTCCATGCCCTCCAGTTAATACCATCAGCGTATGAAGAGTGTTTACCATGATGATAGATCCCGTTTAAATTAGAAGCATGACAGTTACTATACCACCATGCGCCTTTATAAATAACTGCACAATTTGCTGAAGCTTTATCGTTGTCAGAGTCTTTAGTAGTAAAGGCCATTCCCTTGTGGGAACTTTTAAACGAATCACCAGCTGTTCCTAAGTATTCGTTAAAACACAATGTTATTTGTTGTTTAAGTGCCTATGAATGAAATTTGAGCGACTAAGTTGTGCGGGTAAATAAGCAAAACCTAAATAGAAATTTCAATGCATAAGACTTTTGTTTATAACATCTCAAACACAATATATCTTTACACTATGTTAATAATTTACTAGTCATATAACTGCTATCTACTCCATGTGAAGTTTGGAAACATCAGTACCAAAAATTGCTTGAACAAAATATGAATAGTATTATAAGAATATTGTATTTGTGTTTTGGCTTCAAAAGAAACAAAATGTACGATTTTAAAGAACAAACAAAATCACATATTATATTCAACACATCATAACAACACTGTTGAGTTGCTTTTTGTTTCCTGCCTCGTCAGTTTGAATCATTGTTTTACAGTGATAACGAAGAGCATGACCCAAATGAAAATTGTATTTTTCGGGAGCATGTAAAGCAAAGATCATGTTGTTGGCTCATTGTAAATAATTTCATTCAAGTTAACTTATATGAAACTATTTGCCTACGTTATCCTATGAAGAAATTAACAAGTGAATGTCATCAAGTGCACTCAAGGCTACAAAAGTGTTACCTCGTTAGAAGGCACCAAGGAATACCAAAATTTAGTTTGTTTCAAGAATAAGGCATCGTTGCGATTAATAACGGGATTACACAGTTTGGTCCCTCACAAAGCAGCTTTTTAACAACTGTCACAATTGGCATAAATCTGATCTTAATTGGCTTTATGTTAAAAACACCATTTAAGAAGCTACTTCAATATAGAGTTGTATGTAAAATCACATGTCCACGATGTAGCTCGTGCTATGCTGGCCAAACAAGATGTCAGTTACTTCAGTGTAATAAGGAGCATCATAGCAAAACAAGTCCCGTGTAAATCACTTTAGTTTATGTAATGACAGTTTTAGGATGGAAAATGTATGTTAATTAGAGAGTTCGTCAAGATCTACGACTCACTTAAAGGCCAATTTCCATTTCGGTCGCTTTGCTAGCGCGTGCAGGGCATACACGTTTTAGCATGCGCTATAAACTACGTCATTGGCTTCTCTCGGACTTTGTGGACGCTTGCGCACACGCTTTAAAAATTGAAAAATTTCGACTTTCTTATCGTGGGAAGCATGGAACACATGAATGATATCAACCAATCACCAAGAGTTAAGTCGCTAAGGGAAGTCTGGCTGGTATAGTTATAAAAGCATCACCAGTGACCAGGTACCTCAGTGTTATTGTCAGTCTGTCGTCTTGTCCTATGTCTACGTGTCTTGTTTTCCAGCATGTGATGCTGGGAATAACTAAACCAAGTAGCTCTTCAAATGTACTTTGTTTCCTTGGAAACATTTGAAAATAGATTATGCTGAATAACATTGATATTCGCCTAAAGTGTGATATTCGCCATTACTTTTTCCATCTAAATAGATTTTCCTCGCCCAAAATCGTTTTCTGTATTTCTTTCGTTGCAATCGCCGTCTTAATAATTTAAGTGTCAAGAGTCTTCTATTTAAAGCTACTATCTTTGACAAGTTTTTACATTACCGCGCGCAAAATAGTTTAATGAGACTGTTTTTAAACGCGCATACGAATGCTTAAAAGTATCCGCTCCGTGTTCGCTGGCAAAATGACTGTAATGGGAATCGGCCTTAATGACTTTAGCAACATAGCAGATTAATGCCATTAAACCCTCTCTAAACACTAAAAAGGAATGTAGGACTCGTGTACTTGTTATGAAACTATATAAGATAGTAGATTATTGTAGTTTAAATTGATAATTCCAAGCTTTGTTAATTCCTATGTTAGATTTTTAAAAGGCTTGCAACTTAAATGTTAGTCATTTCTAACAAGATGGTACATGGAATACCAAAATATATCGTTTTTATACTGTTATTGGCTTTTGTATGACAAAAATTATGTGCTGCAATATTTTTACCTTGCAGATTTCTTAATGCTCAGTTTTTAATATAACATAATTTGATATCACGTGGGCTGCAAACATCCGTCAAACTTTCAAATGTTGTTCACAAGTAACTTTGCTGACGAGACTGAAATTTGCAGAGATTATTGTAAAACACCGCAGCTGCGTCAACCAATAGTTTGTCCTCAATTACCCTAACAATATTGAAACCATCCAAATGGACCAAAACTGAAGGACCAAAAACAGGGAAAAGTAAGGGTTTAAAACCAATTTTTTAAACCCTATTTTTATATGCACACCCACTTGATCACAATATTTATGTATGCATGATATGCCGTATTAATTTCTTTTTCAATCTGCTGTTTTTCACGTATCATAAAATAAACATAGGAATTTTTTCCCCCTCCCCTAACAAATATCACCCCGTCTACGTGTCTGATGCCCCTGTATGTCACTATAAATGAAGATGTATAAAGTATTGCAAATACCAGTGTTAATCATATTGAAAAGAAAAATTAGTCCTTGGACCAAATTGTTCGTTCACAACTTTTTAAGTTTGGACACATTGTCAAGTTAAGTTTACAAGTTATATTAAAAAGTGATTAAAAAAATTACTAAAGTAAATAGCAGTAATTTTTACCTGAATATGTTCCAAGGCTTAACTTGTATTTCAGTTTCTCACTTGTAACAGAGAAAAAATTCATATTCAGCATATTGTGTATTGCCTGCTGTATCCTCCATGTCAATGCGAAGTTTGTTTTGACTTAAGGACGTTAATCTGTTTATTTTATCTAATCCAAGCCAGAATTCTGTTTTCAAGTTCCCAAAGCCATTTTTGTAATCCTGCCATCCTCTATAGAAATCAATGCTACCATCAAGACGACGTTGGAAAACAGTCCAACCACCACCAGATGTCTTCATGTCGCAATATACATTGAAACTCCCTTGATCATCAGGATCAATCTGATACACACCACTTTTTCTTTCTCCTTTCTTGTAAAGCTCTGTGCAGTCTTTAACTTATTAGAAAAAAAAAACAGTAAAATTTTCAACCAATTCGTTATCTTTGAGCTTAAGTATTTTAAAATTAAAACCAACTTCAACAGAGAATTTTTTCAACAAATTATTTCTAGGTTTTGTTTATGAGAAAATATTGGAGTTGAGTTACATGGAGTAAAAAACAAAAAGATATTTAAATAATTTTCTTGCATGAAATGTTTTTAAACATATATGTTTCGAAGGTCTTGCTATTATAACAGGAAAGCAAATATTTTTCTTAGGCAGCTTTTTTTAAATGCAATGAATTTTTTAACTTTTTGAAGGAAATCCCGAATAACGACATCATTTTTTATTACAATTTTGGACATGAATATGACACAAAGTCGTTGATGTTTCGTTTTTACTACAAAAATGACGTGATATTAGTTACTAAAAAGCAACAAACGAAATATTTTTTTAGAGTTAGTACAAAGATAGTTTTTTATAGCTTTTAGACAACTGTCGAGTTCAGGGTACTTCGATTTGTTAAAAACGCATTTATAATAGGAGTTGTTTAGGGTTGCTAACGACTGGCCCTTTCCCCCCTATCCTCACCCCCCCAAAATTGGCAATTTTCGGTAAATTTAGCATATGTCTGAAATATGAAAACAACTGAATGTAGAGAAATTCGGAGAAAGAATGTTGGAGCATAGCAATTACCCCGGGAATAGCATGCATAAACATATTGTCTTTAATTTGTTTCTATTTTTAAAGATTTTTGTTGTCAATTTTCATAAACTACTTTTTGAAAACAGGTAAATGGACCGATTTATGGAATTTTGTAAAAAATCAAAAAATTCTGGAAGGTTTTTTGAAACAGAATTTCTTCCACTAGGCATTGATGGTACACGAAGATAAACTGTTGGCAATGGGTATCAACCTTGTAAACTTTAATTGGCATTGTCTGCTATATGGAGTAAAAAAGACCTTCAGAAGTTAATCTTCCGTGAAATTTTACTACCTGATGACAATGCTTATCGGACTTGTACATTACTACGCACGTATTGATGTTAGAAGTTATGATATATTCCAAGAATTAGAAAAATAATTTAGACACGTAGCTGAGAATACTTGGCATAGTGATTGGGATATGACTTATCATAAAATTGGATTTACAACTAGTCCCCGTGTCAAGAAGTCAAAGGAAAATCAGATGTTTGCCATTTTCGTTGAAATTTACATTATGAAAAAGAAAAATCTTTTGTTAAGTTTTCGTTTGCGTAACGTAACACGCAAACTATCTATTCTTCAATTTTAATAGATCTTCCATTTTTCATACATCATTTGTATCTATTTAAGACACAATTATATAATTAGTTCAATAAAAAGACAACTTAATACTTTCATTCACTTACCTTTCGTATTATTCTTACAAAACAGGCCTTAATTTAGAATGTTTAAAATTTGTTTTTGAAGTTGAAGTTGTTTCTTAATTAATGCTTTTAAATCATCATTGGTCCTTCGAGTCCTCAAAGCTCGTTTAAACATGCCCATTGGTCCGGTTTGTGGATGGTGATCATGACTAGATGCCTCTCTATAATAAGGTTTAAAAAAAGGAAGGGGAATAAAGCCAGGCAGTGCTATGGCAATTTCAATAGATTAGTGGAGGCGCATGTACGTATATGCATGTATTAAATTGATTTGAAATCTATTGTTATCAAGAATTGAAAACATTCTTACAATGAAAACAGCATCTCTCTTTCCCCCATATGTCAAACGTCTTATGTCATTGAAGCCACAAATTTAATTGCTAAACGTCTCTTATCGTTGGTTAGAGTAATAGTTGTAAGCAATTAAAAGAAATGCGTTTTTAAACACTTTAATGCCTTGTAAATAAGAAATATATTCTTGTAAATAAAAATTTGTGTATGTTAAAACCTAGAATCAAAATATGTTATGTTCTTATAACAAAGGGGAAGTAATGCTCTTTTGATTTTATTTCGGCAAAATTTCTTTCGAGTTGAACTGAAAATAGATCGATTCCTATCATTGGAAAAATAGTAAAATTAATTTTCGATGACTGATCAAAAGTGTCATAAATATTTTCCTAAATGTCATCCTAGAGAGTAGCTGCAACTAATTAAATAATTTTTGCAGCTTAAAGTATGTTTTAATAGCTTTATACTTGGATGTTGTATGTCGATGTTATTAATAAATTACTATACTTCACAATTTTCCATAGTCTATTTTCCTATGTAACTACATTTTAGTCTATGTAATTGCTTTACCTTACAATATTTAGTTAGCGAATATAGAATTTAAAGAATAATATCACGTGTTTTACTCACGCCCAACAATGGAATCATCAATAAATTTCTAATGGTGGGAATGGAATTAATTTACCTCGTCGACAGACATTGTTTCAATGCAAATGCCGTCATTAGTCAGCCCTTTAATTACTTCCCAATTTTTTGTCTTTCGAATTTTTGATCGTTTCCGTGTTGTTGCCTTACGACAACACTGTATGGGAGAGGAAGGGTTCAGTAAAAAAGATATGTTGATATCTATTCATAATTAAGCCTGTACTGGGTGCTTGAAGTTGATCGTGATTGATTTTGAGTTTAAACATGGTAAAATAACACCTCGATTGCCATCCTAAACAAGCCTATAGCATGTTTTTGAAATACTAATATAAGAGAAAATTTGGATTATAATACTTATACATTATGTCAATTGTGTCATTTCATTATGAAGAAGACCAGTTCGTTTATATGTATATGCTTATAATTGCATATTTAATATTGCATTAATATGATGAAAAACAGACACAAAAATTTATGTAGACGTGTCAGCAGTCATTTTGCCCTTTCTACTCTTAAATAATCAGCTACATTTCGCATTCAATTCATAGTCACATACGTTAAAAATTATACGCGGAACAAAATTATCGTGATTGATTGACTACAAGACACAACCGCAGCTAACTAAACAAGGGTTGTTTAAAATAGTCAATAATTTTCTGCCAAGAAAAAAACAAAGACAAAGACGTCTGGATAAACTGCTTGTGTTAGCTTCTTCCGATGAACATGGTTGATTTTTTAAATCAGGATGAATTAGGTAGCCACAAGTATGCTGCTGCTTTTAGGGCAACCGAAAAATAGGTCTTTTTTGGTCTTGTTTATACGATTTAATCGAAAATAATTTTGATCATTAAAGAACCGTCAGTTGATGTTTTCCTTTCGTTTGACGGCTTCCAGCTTGTAGGCAGAAAGAACAAATTGCTATGGTGATTTCTGTTACTTCAGCATTCAGAAAAGTGCATGATATAATGTCAGCAACCAGAGAAAACATTTAAGCTACAAATCTAGCAGTGTTTGGCATACGTTGGATTACGCTGAATGTGATTTTCGTCTCGTCGTGCCCTCGGTCATGTTTACGTTTGAGTTCAAATTGTATTGTTCAGTTTCCTTTTTAAAAGGAGAAAATACGGCAAATCGAAGCGGGGAATTTTTAAAAAAGCCAAAAGCCAAAACCAAAAACCCACACAACAAAATTTCTGCAATTTAAATCTTATGCATTGAATCTTTTCACTATGAAGAGGCAGTGTATTTTAAAAATCAGCTAAAATTTACCTGTACAGAATGGCAAACACAACAGAAACAACCAGCATAGACAAGAAATTAGAATTGGCCATGTTTCCAAGGAATTCAATTAGTTGCAAAATAACTTTACCTCGCACAAACACTTTCAGTGTTACACTAAACCCTGATCTGCTATTATGACTTTGTCATAATGGCATGTTCCTATTTATGTAGCTCTCTTAGTTATCATGAGTTTTGCTGAAACGGATGTCGAAGTAAGATCAAACAATCCTGTTTTTAAAAAAGAGAGATAACAGAAAACAAGATAATAATCAGTATTCTATCATGTTTTGTGCAAAATTTTAGGAAGCGATCATCAGCATGAAGTTAGCAACAGTTCCAACGAGGGAAAGGTTGGTACTAAAGGGAGAGCCGCAGAGAATTGAATTTTTCTTTATGGTAATTACCTAGAAATAAAGGTTCATAAGTATTTATATGACATGAGACATTTGCACGCGAGAAAAGCAAAGCACGAAGTAAAACTCAATGTTCTAGTGTTTTTACACTCCACCTTATACTTTCCTACATCGCGTTTGGAATTGTAAAAAACGTTTACTGCATTTTATTATCTAATATCAAAACTCTCAGTGGTGTTTTCTTCGGTATATATTTTTGACATATTTTGAAAATTACGTCGTATGGAATGTTTTTCATTATGACCTAAAACGTTTCTGAGCCAATCAATCCCAAAAAACAAAACCAAAACAAAAAAACGTTTTTGCAAATCATAACCACAAAGCTCTCAATCATATTCATGCAACAAAAAACACAAGACATCCTTTATACAATGAAAAATCTAATGTATTCTGAAAATAATTTATGGTTCAGTAACTGTACACTGTGCACACTACAAATACAAAAGCAACTACCAGTATTGAAAATTACGAAAAAAGAACAGGCCATCTTTCCTGAGAAAATTCGTTGCGAAACAATTATAACCTCACCACAAACACCTTTAGTGTGACGCCAAACACTGTTTTGCAATTATAATATTGTCATAATGGAATATTTCTATTAGTGTAGCTCTCTTACCTATCATGAATTAGGCTGAAACGGATGTTGACAAAAAATTTAGATTACATCATACTAGAAAATATTTAATAAGTATTTCATCATTTTATGAGCAAAATATCACTCACCACCGTCAGTATAAAGTGATAGATTAAACAAAGGTGAAGTTTCAACTAAAAGGCAAATGATTGTATATATTTTTTGTTAACAACTAAGCAAGATAGATTTATAAAATATTTATTGCATGCATGCATGGCATAAGACATTTTCACTTGAGAAAAGCAACACACGTATTTGATTACTTTTCGAAATGCTTACATATTGAAATGCGTAATTCATATAATAAAACTCGGTTCTCAATGCTATTTGTCCACCTCGTCCATAGATTTTTAATCTGCTTCAAGAATTCTACAAAACCTTTACGGCATATTTTGTTGTGTAGTTGTGTAAAAATGAATGCTGGCTTATTAGGTTTAAAAATTTTTCTGGGCCAGTAAAAGCGCGCTATTTACTTCGGAAGCGACGTTCAACATTTAATCCATAAACACACTTGATTTCAATAGAAAATACTAAAGAAGAAAATCCATATGTAAATACTCCCCCACCCCCAATTATCGATATTATGCTGCCCCTGATTCAATCATTAACTGAAAGAGAGAAAAAAAGGATTCAGAAATTTGGTCGAAAGTCCTCTGAGAATGCTGCGGTCACTCTTCTAACATTTTTGATATCGAAATTATGCCAGATCGATTTCTATTGAAAGATTTTGATTTTATTACAAAGCTGTTGAAATCAATCTTTGTTTATTTATAAAAACATGCGCTTAATGTACGCTCATTCGGAAAAAAAGTGAGTTTTGTTTTCTCTATTGAAAAAAAATTACAAATTGCTTTGTTTAAATTATTAAAATGCGCTTTGAGTATGTTTGTCCGATCAGTAAGTGTCATTATTGCAGGTCTTATGCAAATGCTCAATTGATGACTTCTTTGATGCACACAACATAAGGATCTCATTAACTCGTGCGTGTAGCGTAAATTAAATTGAGTAGAACTTTGTATAGGTCGATGTATGTTAGACAGTCTCATGCTAAATCAGTTCCACTTTTCTTGATGTCATGAACACATGCATTAAACTGTTTCTCTCGCTTGAGGAACGTATCACTATGTAACACATTGCTAAGCCCTTCTTGATTCAGATCAAGTTTCAGTTGCTCTAAATAGGCCTAGTGACATATCACTAACTCGATGTACAAACTTCTACAAAATAAGTGTCATTAGTGCTTAGTATGTCAACTTGTGAAAACGCACTGCTTCCAAATCAACAGTTTTTCAATTGAGCCTTCAGCAACTACTTTGTTGTCGAAAGCATATTCACGGAGAGCACCACCAATGACGCTTAATATCATCACCATGATATGTTATCCACACATCACTATGACAAGGCCATTTATGTTTCCAGAATATATCCATCGTTTTTGCATAAAATGCCTGATACAAAACACAAACAGCTGCCTTCAACTGTAAACTTTTCTTTATTAAGCAACCCTTGACAACACCTCATAATCAGTATTCACAACGAGCAATTTCTGATATGTCAACTTTAATTCACAACAAAATCTCCGTGCTAGCCCTAACTTCTAAACGACTTAAAATCAAATAGGATATATGTCATGTCGAAAGAAAGCTTACTTCTCTTGTTTTCAAGATTCCAGGGAATTAATTTATGCAATAACTAATGCACAAAATATGTTGACTATAAAACACCAAATTTTCAAACTATATAATTTTCATGCTGCATAAAATGCCTTACTAATGATAATGAAATTTATTGCTCTCGGTGGAATTTATTTCGCACATATGAATCCCCCGCCCTCTCCTCAATTACAATCTTGTTTGTTCCTGCAAATACGATCTTAGAAATTTCATTTCTTCTATAAGTTTCCAGTGCTAGACTGTTAGGCAAAATAAACTTTGACTTTCAATTTCATATTTAAAATAACACTTCAACAGTACCATTTGGTTATGAATTTCCAAGGAATAAGATTTGAGGCCTGTTTATATGGAGCCGAGATACACGACTAGGCGAGTAGCTCGGCATGCAGCACCATGTTCTCGTCTGTTTTATTAATGACTTGATTAACTTGACTGACTCTTTACATGAGACATCAGAGTAACTTCCTTTGATAACAGTGGTGAGATCTCGGCAAATTGAGTTTCTCGTTGTACCATATGAGCAGGATTGAACGGGAAACTCGGCTAGGCAAGAAGAATAGCTAAGAAGCACGCATGCATCTATACGTTCATACGCTGTAGCGCAAAATGCTCACACGTTCATTAAATTACGTCTGTGCAAAATGTCAAGCTCGAAAGGTCAATAGCACTTGTGCGCTCGCGAATAGCTCAAGAGAAACGCGACAAACTTAAATTCATTCTACTATTGAATGCATTATTTTGCTTGCAAGTTGAAAACATTTTATTGGCTTTCCGCGAAAGAGCTTTCTCACATAAAATCTCCGTTTTGTAGGAATCCTAACCTTTCTTTTACGACGAATCAAATAGTTAGCAATTAGGGGTGTTTTTTAAGCTTTGTAGAAGTAACTGTCTTTTGTTGACAGCAGCCACGCTTATTTTCTCAAACAACAGTTATAATATATAGTTAAGATGGCTGTTTGTCAAAGAGTAATAAAGTATTAACTGGTGTTTCCCAAGATTTCACAATTATTCCTCTCTTATTTATACAGTGTTTTTTATTGATACTACGCAAGCGCTAAATTATTCAAAAATCCTTAAAAATGCAGATGATATAGTTCTTTATGGGAATGGTGAAGATTTAGACAGCAATCAAACAAAATTCAGTAAGGAAGGTAAAGTTAAACGACGTATTTTCTATTTACTACCATGCTGAGTGAAAAAATATATGAGACAAAAGAATATAATAATCTTGGGTTGGAATTGAATAGTACTTTCAATCTGGATTCTAACTTTTAAATAAACTTTAAGCGTGCATCTGGAACGCTGAGACTGCTTGCAAAGAGGTTGTCGTAACTGTTAATGTATTAATCCAAGTTTTTACGTAACTTCACTTATTGTAGTATACTCTAAATTAAATTAACCGAAACAAAGATGAAGAACATCACTACTTTTCAAAACCATGCTATTAAAATAGTATCTTTCGACAATGGCTTTTTGGTATATCTTTCTTTAATTACGCAAGGCTGTG